CCAACTTGTCAAGATAGCCTATTCTACCCATCTTTTTGTCATTACTTAGGCCTCGAAAATTGTAGATCTTGGGCTCAATGGGATTTTGGGTTGGCAGGGCTTGGGATCAAACTAGCTCGTAAGCCCATTTTCTCTTCTTCTTCTTTTTTTTTTACTCTTTCTTGTTTTTCTCAATTTTCTAAGCACCAAGACACAACTAATAGAAGTTAAATTTAGTGAAAGAGACTAGTTTCTCGTGATGTGGTAAACCAAAATTTAAATTCTTGTTGTGAGAGATACTCACATTTAATATCTTATAATGCCTCAGATAAGATTACCTTGAAGAATTCTTATACCTAGTAAAAAATAAGCAACAAAACACATGGCTCCAGCTCCAAGTGATGAAAATGAAGTTGGTAAAATTGTTGAGATATTGCCTCTAGCCCTCTACTTCCAGCAAATAATAAGCAATGCTTAGCTTACATGATTGGATATTGTTAAAATAATCATATTCAAATCTTAAGACATGAAAGTTTGTGTAAAATAAGGGTTTTCAAGTCAAAAAGTGCAACTCAAAGACTATATTGGATCAAATATATTCAAGCCATTGTGATAACTGGCTAAGCTATCTTGATCTATGCGCACGACTGCTGAATTTGCGTGGAGCTCTAATGCATATTCATGAGAACATATTGGGAGAAAAATATGCATATATGTAAATTGAGAAAGATCAATTTAAGAATAGAGCTGAGAAAATGAGTCGAACCTATCGAGCCGGCCTGTTTAAGTTCGTTTAAGTCAAGGGTCGGGCTTGTATTTTAAAGCCTTGAAAGAGAAGTCGGGTTTAAAAAGATTAGTCCTGCGAAACCCAAAAATAAATGGGCCTGCTCATTTAACCCCGTTAAACTTTTTTTAAAATTTCTAATTTTTTTTTCTTAACTTAAAAAAGGAAACCATAACATTTTAGATATAGCATATTCTTAATTTTACTTATCCCAGCTGCTCACACAAATAGCATTCACAAAAAAAAAAAAGAATCACTATGATTGTGGGAAAATAACCAAAAAACGTGAACATTGCATAATTGAAAACTATGTATATTCACAAAAATGTATTGTTATTATAAGTTGTCAAAACCCGTTAAAATATTGTATATGTAATTTTTACAGTCTTTATTTGTCATTCTCCCATATTTTTTATACTTGGAATAGGATTAATCAAAAAATCTTTTGAATTAAAATAAAGATCGATATCATTTTTATAGTTAGAAACAAAATTAGAGCTAAGGATGATGGACTCTTTTCTTTTTTGTCGGTAAGACAAATGATTATTCTTTATGTATACTATATTTGTTAGTTAAACTTTTTTGTTAATTATTTATAATTAAACCAGATTATCCGTATTATAATTATTTACTGAACTTGGTGCTTATTTAGTTGTTTATGTCTGTCCTCTATTTAGTTTGTTTATTTAATAAACTCTATTACACTGTGAGATATGTTTAGACATCATGATATTTATGTTTGTGACTCAATTTTATTTATATTTATACCTTTTATTAGTAATTTTATTGTTTTATTTTTATTATTTTGATAAAATATGTAAAAAAAAATGGTTCATTTTTGAAACTCGGATTTAAACGGACCGACCCATTTAAGCCCAAGCCTATGATGGGCTAGTATATAACTTTGAGAGAACAAATATCTATGTGGTTTAAGAACACTTAAAATATGTGTTTTTGTGACTTACAAGACAAAACTTCTTCCACGTATTTTTATTTTTGTAATGCAAAATTATCTAAAATAAATTGAACAAAACACTTGTATACAAATGTGTTGTGTTATTTGAAAGTGAAACGAAAATTACTTGATATTACCAAAACAAATTGGGGTATGTTTAGATTGACGTTGGGCAAAATTAACTTTTAGTCCAACTAACTTTTGTAACTAAAGTTGAAGTTAAAGTTAGTTAATGTAATGTGATTTATGTTTGGATATATGCTTATAAAAAGTCAGTTAAAAAAGTTAAAAAATTGTTTGGATGATTAATAGAAAAGTTAGTTTAGTTGTAAAATGACTGAAAAGGATATGGACTTTATTGAATAGTGATATTTAAAATTTTATGTTTTTAATGTGATAATAGTTTAAAAAAATATGTAAAATTATTATGATAAAATATAAATAGTTTATTTGTGTAATTATAAAATAAAAATATTTGTTACGGAGAAAAATTTGAAAACACATTATAGATAATTAATTAAATATACATAATAGACAAACATGAATATAATTTTAAATTTATTTAGTCTCTAATCAAAGTAAATGAAGTCACATAACTAATTAGATTATAAGATTTGCACAATTTTCCCATAAATCAGTTAGAAAAGTTGATCTAAATTACGTTGGATAAGTCAGTTAGAAAAGTTACTTTTTTCTATAAGTCAGTTAGAAAAAAAGCCCAATCCAAACAATCTTCTGAGCCACAATAAGCCATAAACCTCAGTTTCATACTTCTCCGTGTATATTTATCATCTGCAACGGCAATCCAAACGAGGCCTTACTTGATAAGACGAGAAAGTGGGGGAAGAGAAGATGAGTTTTCCTCCCCTTCTTCTTCTCTTCTTCTGAAGATTGGTTTATAATAAAAAAGGGCAAAGAAGGGAGAAGAAGGAGGAAGGCTATTGGATGGCTACCGTATTAAATATTTTGTGGGGGAAACGAAGATTTCATAAAATTATCAAGGTTTTGGTATGTTGGTTTAACGATTAATTACAATCAACAAATTAGAAAAATCCTTGATAAATATCATGAAAATATTAAAAACCACGAGTTAGTGACTCCAATTTCAATAATTCCAAATTGGTCGGCATGTACTAAAATGAATTTTTAAAAAATTCCATTATTATCATATTGCCCCTCTTTTTTTCTCAAGAAAGCCACATCATCAAAACTTTCGTTAGTAGCTAGCCACCGAAGCTCTAGCACTAATGACCCCTGCTGGCGATCGAAGCTTTGGCACTTGGGGAGCTCTCTTACCCGATCGGTTGTGAAAGCTTCAATGCTAGCAGCTATTAGCTATTGTGCTTTTTTGTGGCAATATTGGCTAATGAAATGAAGTAAATAACTAATGTATCTGTGGTAAATAGATATTTGCTGATCAATATACAAAAATCTAATTATGTTTCATTAGCACGCACTGCCAAGTGAAATAGAAAAGAAATAAATTCACAAGCCAATTGGACTAGTAGCCCACCCTCCAATATGACTGAACATATATATCGACATCATGAAAATGAAGTTATCCTGGACTGTTACTGGCAAGTCACAATAGAAGAAACTAGACACCACATTAATGCAAGAAATTAATTATATTTCAGATGTCATCATCATTATGAGGGCAAATTGCAAACCACTACTATAGTATTATATTGTTTTTAATTGTAATATATAAACGGCACGTGGTAATAATTGTTGACCCACATAAAAGAATAGAACATCAATGAACTGAAATTAATTACATTCATGTGATGGTGTGAACGATCTGATTTGGATTAAAGATTCATACACCCAGCCCGAGGAAAAGACAAGATGAACATGACTAATAAAATATCGAAGAAGATAAGGATATTGACTTTTGAGAGATAATTCAAAATATTGATGATGCAGACCCAGACAAACGTAGCCCACCATTACCTCCACTGTCCAATAATCCTTGGTCCTTTGCCCCGTTTCTCACTCAGCTGAAATGCAGCCCTAAATTCGCTTCTATGTGCTCGTTTTTCCCCTGAAATTTTAGTTAAGCCATTTTAAAATATTATAAATTACTCCTCCAATGCTTAATATAAGATTTATTTAATTAATTTGATTATATTGAGAAAATTAGATAAATTAGTTAATTATAAGAAATATGACATGTTTTTCCTTAAAACACCATAATCATCTTTCTTAATGTCTCCTCTCCCTCTTCTACTTGATTGTGGTTGAGGGAGTATCCATAATGATAATTTAGAAAAAATTAATAAATATAAGAAATAAGTCTTATATTTAAGACCAAAGCCAACTTAACAATTAAGTCCTATATTAAGGACTAAAGGAATAATATTTTTATGATCAGAATTGTATAATACTACTATTTTAAAGAATTTACTATCAAGTTTATGACGGTTAACAATATTAATATTATAAATTAATATTCAGATTACGGTTTGGCACAAATGAACAATATATGATTTGAATAAAAAATTCTTGCCTCACTTGTATATGGACAAATGCGTCCGAATATTCTGAAACTATATATTCAAAGTCTTTTTTGGTAGCCATTCTTTTCCAAAGAGATCTCATAATATCTAGACCCCGTGTAAAGGCTATAGTTGGCACTTGTTGAAATTAAGTGGTACTTTGAATTAACTTATTTGAAGTTATTTTTACGCTTCATATGATAAATATGGGGGAAAAAATTTTATCTCATAAAACACAAAAATGATTATTTGTAGTGAAATCCAACAGGTGCATATCAATAACTTATTCACACATCTAATGGAACCAAGCATATGATAATTATGTTTTTTTCTTCTAAACTTTAATTTTGTAATAACAATGTTCCTAATATCGAGCTCAGGTAAATGTAAGCAAGGTCTAGGCAAGTATAGTAAGCAAGGTCTAGATAAGCTTGAGCAAGAGTCGGGGAAGTGTACAGTGGACAGATTCATGCAAGGTCTAAATAAGCGTGTGCAAAGGTTCAGGCAAGTGTGAGCAAATTCAGGCAAAACTCGGGGAGTTTGTAAAAATTTTTGCTATGAAATTTCAAAGTTTGTGACCAAAGCAATCAAAAGTTAGGGTCCTTAGATGTAATTTTGCTTAACTCAGTCGTTTTGACCAAAGGCCACCGCTACTTCTTTGAATCATCTCGTTCCCATTTGAGTATTTGAGGCCACCTTTGACTTAGTAGGAGGAATCACTTACTAATAGGAACAAATGTCATTGCGTAGAGTTCGCTCACTGTTGAGCGTTTCTATATTGTACAAAATACCTCGTAGTATTAATTATTAAATTAAGTTTTTTTAAAAAAAGAGTATAATATATCATAATACCAATATTCTTCGAGTGCTACGTCTCTCGCCGCTTATTTTTAATTCTTTAATAATATTTTTTGGGCCGAAATAATACTTTATATATAGCTACCGTCTAAGACCAAGACTCTTTAACTTCTATTATATTCATGCTTAGATCACGGACCCAGTTCATTGCATTAGATATCACTTTCTGTGTAAGTGACGATTTGACTTGAAAAATACAGAAGAACCTGAAGATGCAGGATCATGATCAACGGATGAAGAACATAATTAGAATGTAATTGAAATTAATGTTGCATTAATTTAGTTTCGATTTCTCACAACTTTTTTTTTGAAACTAATGAACAATTGCTCAACTTTTAACGCTTGATTTTCGTGTGCAGAAACCATAAGAAAAATAAATCATATTTGTCCTCACCGGCCCAGTTTATGTATTTGGTGATTTTTTTTTGGGAAACCATTAAAATTTAATTTAGAAGGAATAGGATCTGTTTTTGGATAGCACTTTTCACATTTCAAATGTGCTTTTGGGGAGTTTCGAGGGTGAGAAGCTTTAAATTGGAGCTTTCCGCAATATCATTTTAAATTTAATAAAGCTAAAATAATACTTTACAGTCAAATGAGCCTTATATTTAGGACAGGAAAAGTAATTTACTTTACGCTTTATTTCTTTTAGAATAACAAAACCTTTTTTGGAGAAAAATAAGTATGACCGAATTGTTTAATCTCATACGAATAATCATATATATCTGCAAAATTGTACATCATTCGCAAATCATAAACAAATTATTTTAGAATTTGCTCTACTCTATATATATATATATATATATGTATATGTATATGTATATGTAAACGAGTAGTCATCCCTGGTTCAATTAAGATCAAGAGCAAGAACAATAATAATAAAAAGCGCTTCCTCTAAATATTATATATATATATATATATCATGCGATTGGAATACAATAAAGATAATATAGTTTCCATGTACTAGTTAATAAACCAAAGAAAGAAATTGAATTGAAAAACAAAATGAACACCATGAGTTACTCCTTGTGATGACACGGTAGGGGACTGTCTATCTATCCATCTATCTTATTCTCACATAAATGAAAAGGAGACGACAGATCTACATAAGTATTAAGATAAACCCTAATGGGCAAAAAAAAAAAAAAACTTAACTTTGCAGTATCACATAATGTAATTACCATTCTGAATCACATCATTACTATGAGAGAAGAAGGCATTATTATTCATGGTCAAGTCATTCAAACTGTAGTTATGATCCACGATCATCCCGTCAGATATCTCCATGCTAGGCTTGGACGATGAGTTATTAATTAAACTTGAAAACAAGTCAGTGTTATTATAATCAAATAAATTATCATCACCACTTTGCTGCCGCCATTGTTGCTGATCTACAGTAATCTGCTGCTGCTGATGATACTGACGAACATGACGACCTCCTTCGTTATTCAAACCCGTGTTTCCAAACGGCGCTGCCGTGGCCGCCGGAGGCGGCACCGTTTTTACCGTCCTTGACTTGTTATTTTGATGATGAACGACTTGTCGTCTTCCTTGTTGGAAATTTAAGGTGATAGGTCCCTTATAGGCCTCGAACGACATGGCCGTACTACTAGGGCAACCTGTGAACTGCTGAACAAGTGCCCTAAAGTTGGTGGTGTTGGCGGTGAGGAGGGTGGTCGGGGTTCTCTTAGAAGCTCTGGACCTTCTTCGTATAGGTCTGGAGCCATTGTTAATGGCCTTTGGGCTGGTGGGACCAGGGCTAGAAGACGACGTCGTCGTGGCGACGGTATTAGCATCAGAGATAAAACCTTCCATGGCCGAAACCTCCTGAAGAAGATGATCATAAGTATCATCATCAGGACTTTGCTGGTATAACTGCATCATCCACTGGTGGTCGGTAGTTGCAGTCATAGTAGTATGATCACCGATGATACGTTTGGTGAAGAAGGTTTCTGATCGACAATGGAGGACAAGGACTTTGATGAAACACACGGGTTTGAAAGAGGGAGATTGTAAGTAATGTACTTATAGTAACGCGTGAAGTTGTGGAATTTTTGTGTTGGTCAGAGTAAAACATTCAACCTTTTGACTATTCTTCTGATGGAGACGGAAAGAGAGACTTGAGGACAAAGAAGAGGTAGCTTCCTCGAAACAACAAATGTTCTATCCATGTTATTAAAACGCAACCCTGAGTTAAGCAGTTAAATTAGTGAATCGTAGACTGATATCCTAATCGGTTTGATTAAGAGTTTTGGATTGGTTAACTGAGTTAAATTTTATTTTCCCCCTCTCCCCCTCTTTATTAAGCCTAAAACAATGTCAAAAACTATCTTGTTAGATTATACTATCCGATGTTAAATATAAGAGTTTGTTGACTAATTTGAGTAGATTAAAAAAATAAGTTAAATTAGTTATTTATGATAAATAGGTGTTGTTTTTCTAAAATATCCCTGCTAATCAAGCTTATTGGCTAGAACTACCATTATTAGAAGGACTACTTGAAAAAAATGGATAAATATAGTGGATTAGGGTCTTATATTTAGGACCAAAATAAAAGTCAAATATGCTCTTATATTAAGGACTGGAGTCTGGAGGTAATATTTATGTTTTAGTAATTCTGTTTTATTGGATTATGTGTGGTTGATATCTTAATTCTTTACTACCTCCAGTTTTTAATATAAAACTCGTTTGACTTTAATTTTAATCTTAAATATAAGACCCTTATCCTTTGTCTATCATATTTATTTATTTTTTTCTAAGATAAGTCTTGTAATAATCAAGGTTATTAAACTCGCAAGTTTAAACAAACTCGTGATAATGATGTAAACTCGGATCGTCAACTCAAATCGTGAATTCGTAAGAGTTTACTTTTATTAATAAATTGATATTAAAAGTATATAATCAGATAATTAATATATAAAAATGAGAACAATTTTATTTAAATATATTTTAAATTTAAATAATTGAAATTATATCTATCAATGTTTATAATTTGTCATATTCACAAAAAAAATTTCTATAAAAATCATATATAAAGTCACTAAACATAATTAAAATAAAAAATTTAGCACGAGTTTTAAGAGCGATTTGACATAATTTTGTAAGTTAAAAACGTAAAAACGGTAAACTCAGTAATAAACTCATAAGTTTAACCGAGTTTACAGTTATCATGAGTTTATAATGAGTCGACACGATTTTATTAGCTAAAAACATAAAAACGTTAAATTCAGAGAGTCAACTCGCGAGTTTGACAACAGTGATAATAATAGTAGTTCTAGCTAATATACTTTATTAGTAAGGATATTTTAAAAAAGATAATACCTATTTATTACAATTAACTAATTAACTGAACCAATTTTCTTAATTTATTGAAATTAGTCAACTAGCTCTTATATTAATGATTGAAGGTAGTGTTTATTTATGAACTATAGTATCTTTTTATCTAAATATTACTCATCCCAAGGTTATGTGTGAATATTTTTACATTTAAAATAAATTATATCATCTTAATTATTATTCGTCTGATCCTGAATTTACTCTAGTGTAAGCCATTACCCCTTAAACTACTGCGTTGAATGATTCAGTGGCTGGTCTCATTTTTAATACCTTACTTTTATGATACTGACGTAGCATGAGAAATCTCTCAAAATCATGGGCTTATGTCACTATTGGACTCGCCTGGTTTGTTATATTTTGAAGCATTTAATTTGATTTGAGGCGGTCTTTGTGTGGTTTGGTCAGAAAAATGTGTACCCCAGGGTTGAAATACTTAATAAGATTGTGACTTGAAGGTATTTTTATGTGCATAAGGCGTCCGTATGGGTTTGAATTTTAGTTAAGTTTAATTTCACACTTAAACACATATAAATGGTAGTATCCGGCCGGATTCTTTATTCCAACCATGTGGATCAGTCCCAGGCAATTAAAAATAATGTTGAGGCTGATTTAATGAGTAAAACCTACGCTGTATCTCAATGTACAATTAAATGAAGCTAAGTATACATAAGATTATAAATTCAATTCCTTATTAGAGTCACTTTAGTATACATAAGATAAGTATGACAAAATTTAATGGATCCCATGTTAATGGAACTCGCATATTAAAACTGTGGTATATTGATTTGTGTCTATCAACAATGCGTTATTAAATGAGATATATTTATGTATTAATTTTACAACGTAATTATGTTTTAATAGCATCAAATTGTGTCTGTTGCTTTAGAAAACTTTATTATTCCCTCATATTTTTATAGTACGATCATTTATACAAATGGAAATTATTTTAATTAACTTGGATATATTTGCATTAAATTTATGAATTTAATTAATTAGATTGGTGAATTTTTTTTGTTTGAGATAAAAATGTTGAATGAGTAATGAAATTACTTTTATAAGTTCATATAAAATTATATTTTACTTTTCAAAGATAAAACAACTATGGATTGGATTGACTTAGACGGATTAATTAGTGGGGCACCATGTTGAGGTCTACTGTTAACCACTATTCTCCCGCCCACCACAGCTTGTTCAGTTACAAACCATTATTTCAACAGTCAACACCAAGCCATGAAAATGATGTTGTGCATTCAATTTGTTTGATCATACTGCCTCCCTTTAAGACTCAGTTGATTAATGTGGACATATTAATAAAACTAAAAAATTATGTTAAAGCATTTATATTTTTACTATTTTTTTCCAAATTAATTTTCTGAACTTATAACATGATATCTAATCCAATGATACACATAAGTATTTCAAAAATATCATGTAAAATATGATATAATGAAATAATGTTTTAATTTTCTTAATCTCTTAAATTAGTCAATTGAGTTTTATATTGAGGACTAAAGGTAAAACTACCTCCAATTCTCAGTATAAAATCTAGATAATTAATTTATAAATATTAAGAAAATTAATTTAAGTTAAATGAATAGGTATTGGTTTTCTTAAATTAGCATTTATAATACGGATATTTTAAAAAAATAATAAATTTGTAATTTAAATCTATTTGATTTTTTAAGTTTACAATTTTTCAAAAATTTATTTATATTGATCACACATATCAAAAAATATTTTTAATTTAATTTTTTTGAAAAGGATATTTAAAGAAAATGAACCAAATTTTTATAATAATTAAATTAATTAATTTTTTAATCTTTATATATTATAAATTAGTTATGCAGCTTTTCCATTTAGAATGGAAGAGAATATTATCCAAAGCTCTGCATTCACGCCTCACGAGGGACTTGATAAGAACTCGGCTATCAATACGAGGATAATAATTTAATTATAAGTATTTTTTATATTCGATTTTCAAGTCATAAAACTTGCTTGAATCTCAATAAAACTGGAAACCCACCCATATGAAATTTTTATTGTAAAGAAAATAGGAAAAATTTATGTATTAAATTGTCATTCTAAGTTATGATGGATATTGTATCGCCCAAAAAAAAAAGTTATGATGTCTATGAGTATCGCTTACTCTTTTTTCTTTTTTTTTTCCCCCCCGGAAAAGGGTTCTTATCTATGCTGATTATGGGATTAATTAAAACAGATTAACAAGTAAATAAAAGTTGTCAATAAAGTACTCCTCCGGTCCTAATTATAAGACCCAATTGACTTATTTGAGGAGATTAAGGAAGTAAGTTAAGTTGGTTATTTATAATAAATAAGTGTTGTCATTCTTAAAATATCCTTACTAATTAAATATATTGGCTTAAACTATCATTATTAGAAGGATTATCTTGGAAAAAAAATGCATAAATATAAGAAACAAAATGGATTGGGTCTTATAATTAGGACCAAATAAAAAGTCAAATTGAGTCTTATAATAAGGACCGGAGGAGTAGTTCTTTTTTTCTTTCCGGTGAGTCTTTGTGCATTAGGTGGTACTTTAGATTTTTTGAGGGTCTAATTTTTGGCCTATGGCTATTGGTGTTTGTAATTGTTTTTTGAATATTAATAAAATTGACTTTTTTGGCCAAAAAAAACAAAGTAGTTATTTTTAGCCAGGAGATAGCATATCAAATTGAGATAAAAGCATGCAGCATGTTATCTTAGAAAAGAAATATTAGCCTGCAACTTACTATATGTGTAACAAATTAAATAAAATGAGCTTAATGCATGAATCATGTTACCTAACAACGAAGTTGATAAATGAAGTCACGCCTTTATTGACCATTATTACTCCCTTCCGTTCTATACAAAGTATATGGAGACAGAACTGGTTTTGTGTGGTCCTTTTCACAAGGTAGTACTATTTTGATTATATTTATTATATTTTCTTTTCATTTTACTCCTATTCAATCTTCAAGTAGAAATATATGGAACATTTTAAAAAATGCATTTAATATGAATAAAAGAAGGATTATGTTTTATGGTTTTTATTAATTCCGGCGACAAATATAGAAATTAACTTATAAATGGGATCGGATGCAATATAATTGAATTTCTCAAATTTTTCTTAATAAAAGATAATCAAGGACATGATATATTAAATGTGTTCATTGAACGTAGATGTGAATGATATGCTAATGAAAATATATGTGAGGTTTGACTGCGAAATTATTTAAGGTAAGTGAGGGTTTAATTGTAAAGGATCAAAATACTACTCCTGTAGACTGTAATATCTCTAATTCTTAATATAAGCGTTAATTAGAAATTGAATTTAGTTTTAAATATAATACCTCAATCCACTTTTATCTTTCAAATTTATAATAATTTTTCTAAAATATCTTTATTGATCATAAGGATTCCTACCAATGGATAGTTCTATTGCATATAATTAAATATGGTAGTTTGGTAAAGTCAGTACATATTTTTAATTAACCAACTTAACTAGCTTCTTTAATCTCTCCAAATTAGTTATCTAGATCTTATATTAAAGACTGGAGATAGGAGCTCTTATTGTAGTGCATCTTCTCTAAGTAACTTTTGGTCTCAAATATAAGTCATTAACAGCCTCATTAGTTAATTATTTGTTTTATTTTACTCTTTTTATTAATTGAAATTTAAAGTTGAAAAAAATTAAATCACGTTATTTGAAGAGGTGTGAAGTAAGAAAAATTTATTAATTTAAGACCAATTTGATGACTTAACTGTCATTAACTCATTTCTTAATACGCAAAAAATTAATTAATTGAACTCATTAAAATTTTTTTATTTTTCCTCCCTCCTCTCCCATCCATTTTCTTCATACCAAACAGAGCCTAAGAACAACGCCTATTGATAACTTTCTTTTAATTTTATAAATCAATCATCATTAGCCTGTGTATTACGGGCTCAATCTTGTCACAACGTACACTTAAAACAAAAACCTAATAGAACATATATTGTTATAAATGGGAGTTGACCAATTCGGTTGACCAGTTGACCCTTCAGGTTATGAATCATATAATGATAAGATCGTATTTTTAACTACAAATTATTCGATAAATTTTTTGTTATAATGCGGATATTATTTTTGAAATATATTTTCTTATAATTAAGGCTTTTTTATCTTAAATGCGTGGGTTATTTAAATTAATGTGTCAGGACCTTATTGAACATTTACACATAATATATAAACATCTCTGTATGAGCTCGAACTTTAAGCGTTGCCTTACTCATTAAGTATTTAAAATCCAAGTCACCTCAACTATTCATCTACAAAAATTATTATAATTTTTTAATTTCAAAAGTTAGGACAATATAAAAATTTTAAATATTATAACTAAGCTTATTGTTAGTTATTTATAAAGTCTATTTTTCATTTTTCAAGAAATGAGTTGTGAATCCAGTGTTTTATGAAAGAGTCATGAACTTTTGAAACTTAGTTAACATTATTGTAAATACAGGTATTAATTATTATTATGATTAAGCCTAATTCGCTATCATTATATAATAATTTGCATAATATCAAAGTGCATCACCCACGAAGTAGACGAAGGTAAATTTTTTAATAAAAAAATAGGGCGTTTCATTAATTGTCTGTTTCAAAACGTATTTACATTAAGACAATCGTGAGACTACCGTGTAATAT